CTGCCAATACGATAGATATTTGGTCAAGAAAATACCTCCTCTTCAGTGCTGGTATTGGTGGGTCGTTCGGTCGATCGCACACGTACCACTACACCCGCCAATAATGGCTGAATCAAAAACAGAAAAAACAAAGAGGAATTCCATAACCATAACAAATTGGGCTACAATTTGTCAGCTATGTGGGGAGAACCTAGATATTATATGGCATGTTGTTTTGTTATTGTTATTATTAATATTATTGTCGATGTTGCTGCTGCTTGTTATTAAACGAACAAGTCTGGCCTGTGCTTTTTTTTATTTATTCATTAATTTGTTGGCTTTGTAGACAAATAAAGATTATAAAAAAATATTATGATAATGTTTGCATATATTATAATATATATTATATACATACATGTTTCTATGTATGTATGCAGTGTATATAAGCGTGAATATTAAACAACTTGACGATTATAACAAAGGCAACTAGCCAGCCAGCCAGCCAATCCAGCAATCAACCAACCAACCGACAGAAGAGTAATCAACAGCTCAGCTAAAACGTCGGCTGGGCAAAACATGAATCCAATTCACAATATCGCTGTTGGAATAATCTATCTATATACACTCGATTCACTCGTGCAGTGTGTTATATGGAATATGAATAATTAAAGTGTTTTATTAGCAACTAGCCAGCCAGCAGCCTAAGCAAAGCTGTCGTCGTCGCCGTATCAAGCAAAGCAATTCTCCCTTATCTGTTTGCCGCCTTCTCCGCTCTGATACTATCGTGGTTAGGTTCTGGTTTATATTTGTTCATAGCATTTCGTCAAGTAGCAAGTTTTTATATATATATTTGTTTGCAAATTGTTTTTTATTGTTGTTGTTTTTGTTGTCGTTATTTGTGAATAAATAGTTGGTGTCGTTGTCATCGCCCCCTTGCCGTGTTTGTTGATCTTTGCAGTTTTATTTTATTATTATTATTGTCTGATATTCATAGAAGAATTACATACATACACATATATTCTGATGATAAAGCTAAACGATATATTTAAAATAAGTGTTGTCATATTCAGTAACGTAAGTTTTAGCTTCAAAAGGGGTGTTTTTTCCTTTCCTTTTGATCTCAGTTGTCAAGACACATTCCTCCAGTCTAGATATAAGAAAAAAAAAATAATAAATATCCTCAGGGAGATACATTCTCTGCTTAGACTGGAAGATAAACTGGATTGGATTAATAAACTTTGAAATTGAAACATATTTATTTCACATTGTAAAATAATTATTAGCATATATATTTGTTCTTAATCATTGTTGGTTTTTATTTTAATAATTGCTTTCAAAGCAATGTTACAATTGGCCGCTCAGGATGATATTTTCAAGGTTTTATGTTGCCCCACAGGCTTATTTAATATCTATTTGCTTAGATTTAAGTTGCTTTATTCTATTATAAAAAATAAAGCATTTTGAGATAGGGTACACAAGGTACGAAAAATATCCATTCGCGTTGCCAACTTTGTAAATTGTTTCTCTTCAATTATCCATGATTATTGAAGAAGAATTATCTCTCAAGAATGATATATGATTTTATAACATCACAAAAGAAATATTTAATAAAAGCTAAAACCTATAAAATAATACATTCATGCACCATCTGAATTGCTTTTTTTGTGAATAAAGATTCCAATATTTAATAATAATTTTTATTCAGTTGGATAAATCGGTTATAGAGTAGACCTGTATATAATGGGATTTTTTATTAAAAACAAAGTAAAAAAGCAGTTAAGTTCGGGCGGAACTTTTATACCCTTCACAATTTGGAAGGAACTTGAATTTTTTCAAAAAAAAAACTTCAAAAAATACCGCTCAAATGAAAAAATCCTTTATATGGGGGCTACACGAAGACGTGGTGCTGAATTAGTAATTTTTTGTCATAGGGTGAAGTAACGATTCCGACCTTCAAATACGATATTCGAAACAATTTCGGTGAATAATATCGCTTATATCATCACAATACCGAATAAAGGCATATGGGGGCTATACTAAGACGTGGATCTGCATTGACAATTTTCCTTCATAAGTCGTAGTACCCATTACGAAGTTTAAATACGAAATTTTATTCAATTCCGGTGAATAATGTCGCGAAAATACTGCAAATACCGAATATCTCGGAGTAGCGTTATATGAGGGCTGTACTAAATCGTAGACCTACATCGATAGTTCTGTTCCAGAAGGGTAAAGTACTTAGAGGGAACTCCTTGTGGATTTTCAGACTATTCCATTGTAAAATGTGGAATAGTTTTTCAGCCAGCAGAGCTTAAGTAATTGAAATTAAGGTTGTTAAATATGTTATTCAAGTTCCAAAACTGTTTGCTAGATTACAGTTCAAATCCATAGAGTAAATTTTTAAGCCATTCAGCAAAGTAAATTGCAACTATTTTCTCCAAATGTTTTTTTTTTTCAAATGACCATATAGGTAATACTTAAAATACACTTTTTATGCATTTCAGCTAGCTGAACTCATTCGAATTCATGTGATTTTTATGATGACCAGCTAATATTTACAATATCTATTATCTACAGAAGCTTCCTTAAACGCGCTGGTGTGTGTAGGTGTAGTTTTGTTTTACTTGACAAATGGAAATACCTTCATTCGCCAAACAACTCATCTATAACCCCATATCTCTGCGTGCGGATTATGGCCATTGTTTATTTTCACCTTTTTCAGTTGTTGTTCGTGTGTTCTACTCTTTCAATAATTATCAGCTTTATTGCATTACTCGACAACAAAACGGCGGTTGCTGGCTGCTGACGTCAGTTGTTCAAATATGTATGACTTTTGTTGTTTTATTAATTTTTATTACTCGTTTCATTTTTTTGTAGATACTGTCAACGGTATGAATATTAACACAAAACCCCACCAAAGCTGATAACAGCCACAATATTAGCAGCGAAATACAAAAAAAAAAATCCCAACCGAAAAAAAACAATGAAAACGAAGAAACCCATTCTCTATCAACAGTTATTGCGAATTGAAATCAAACCTCAAGTGTCTGGTTGGTTGGTATAGCTCCAACATGACTATGGGAAAACAATAAGTAGGAGAACTAAGTGGCATAGCCTGCCAGTGGGGGGAATGGAAGTTGAAATTGTTTATAACTTTATCACAGGCGATAAGAAATTGCAGATAATACTTTTTTGCCTGATACATTTCGAAGTGTGTTGGAAATTATGCTTGATAGGTATGGGTGGGGAGAACTTATTTAAAGTGCTGTCTTAGATAGATATCTTATATTTCCGACTTGGCACATGACTCACATGCCCAGAGATGTCTCATTTTCTTCAATATTGACAAGTCATTTGTGGTTGGGTATATGTGTGTTTTCGTTGGTTCTCCTTCATTCAAATGTTTATAAAAAACAATTATTTATTTACTTTGTTTTTGTTTTCGTTTTTCTTTTATCAAAAGTATAACAAGTTTAACTTTTTGTTGTTTCTTCTGCTTAAAATCCCACAGTAGTACTGATATTCTAAATTTAATGTCATAACAATGACTGGCTGACTGTCTCATTAGCTGACAAAAATAAGCGGCCCCGTTTTGGCGGGAGAGGCAGGGGTGCTTATCTTTAAATGTTTAATTCCATTTTTTGTTGTTATTTTCATTTGCTCTCTATTACTGTTCCAGAAATTCTAAAATGTTTGTTTTTTGTGTTTTTTTTTTTTTTTGATTATTGCTGATTTCAATTCCGTCTGGTTTATTTAGTTCCACTGCATTCTTTTTCAGTTTCACAAAAAAGTTTGTATGCAAAAAAGCGAGCAGCACGAGCAAACGCGATAAAGTCAAGTTGTTTGAAAGCGATTAGGATTAGATTTAATCAGCATATTTAATAAAGTCCAAATTGTTTCGATAATTTTGAGTTTTTGTAATTCAAACTTGTATTCAGTTATCTGAAATCGTTATTTAAAAAAATATCTTGAAGATTTTCTGCAATATTAACTCATTTTTATACCCTCCGCCATAGTGTGGAATGTTTACAAAATGAGGTTCCTCGCTTCATTTCCACCACAGAATGGCCACCAAAATCTCCAGATACAAATCCGTTGGACTATTGTGTCTGGAGAACTTTGGAGAGCAAGGTTGGCACTAAAAAATATCAAAGTGTCGATCACCTCAAGTAAGCGCTTCGCCAGGAATGGACCAAAATACCACAGAGCAACATTCGGGCAACGTGTGACGGTTTCATTGGTCGTTTGAAGGCCATAATTCGTGCCATTGGTGACCAATTCGAACAAATCTAAACTTATTCCAAAACTTGATACAATTTCCGAAATTTTTTTGCTTTCATTCAATAAAATTAAAAAAAAATGTAAAACTTATGGCGTTTGACTTCGTTGCAGTTTTTTTTTATCTCACCCTGTATATTCTTGATGAGCATAAAATTCTATGTCGATATAACGATGTCCGTCCGTCTGTGGAAATCACTCTAGCTTCTAAGTTGATAATATTTTACTCAAATGTATATTATGTCTGCAGGAGTTTTGGTATGAAAAATGGTCCATGCTGGTCCACGTTTTGAAGATTTTAGCGACATTATTCATCGGAATTGGTTCAAATTTGGAATTCGAAGTTCGTAGTGGATACTACAGCCTATGACAGAAATTGTCTGTGCAGGTCCACGTCTTCATATAGCCCCCATTGCAACGGTACCTCCCGATATTCGGAATTTTGATAGCTTTATCTACATTATTCGCCGAATTTTTTCCAAGTGTCACATTTGAATATTGTAATGGCTTATGACAAATGTTGCCTATAGACCGTTATGTAACGGCTACATTCGGTTTTTTAGGATTTTAACGGATTTTATTTTTTTTTTTGAAAATTGCCAAATTCGTTCCAAACGACGGTATTATTTTTTTTTGAACTTCAATTTAAAATTGATTACAAAACATTTCATTTATATCATTAATTTTGATTAATTATATGCATACAAGTTCTAACCAGATATATCTTCATTCCTTTATTTCAGATGATCCTGGCGGTACAAAAAAAGATCAGACGGAAACGGTAACGAATCTTAGCAATATGGAAGCTACAACAGCAACAACGCCAGCAGCAACCACAACAACAAAATATTATAACAAAACGAAGCTTCAACAACAGAATAACAATAATCAACAGTTACCACAAAATAAAAGTACAACAGCAACAACAAACAGCGGTAAGAAAGCCCAACAACAACAACAAACATATCGTGATTTAGAAGATAGGCAAGAACCACAAAAGAAATTAACAGCAAAGCAAGCTAAACAAGCTGCCAAATTGGAAGCTCAACAGAAGCAGCAACAGCAAAATGTCAAAAACGCTGATAGCCAGCAACAGCAGCAGCGACAACAGCAACAACACAACAAAAATGTTTCCAAAACGGTAACCTCGTCCGTTCTGGAAAAGGAGAAAAGTATAACTAATTCAAATTTACCTGCCACCACAACCAACATTGCACCACAGCAACACCAACCAACAACAGCAACCACCACCACCGCCAATAATGCCAATAAAAATATTAACAACAATCTAAATGTTGCTAAATCCTCCACCAGCGCCTCTGTCACGACCACAAACAACAGTGGCAGCAACATGGATTATGTGAATAGCATTAGTAATAGTTCAAATTTCAATAAAAGTGATACTACAACTAGCAGTAATAGTAATAATAAGGAACAATTATCAAATCCAACACCGAACAGCACTAGTGATAATTTCAATAGCGCTGGCCCTGGTACTGGCACTGGCGCCACAGGGTCGGACAATAACTGGAGTAATTCCAAATATCTACACAAGAAATTCAAACGCTTGGCAAGTACAACGGAAACAGAAGGGGGCGTGGGACAGGATGCAGAAAAGCTGAGAACCACCTCAATATCATCGGCCAGTTCATCAGTGTCATCGCCGCCACCACCACCATCAACTCCGGCATCAGCAATTGTACAGCCTCAAAATGAAACAACGAAACCTGCCCATGAAACCAATCAGCAGCAGCAGCACCATAATTTACAAAATGGCTATTTGATTCGACAGGAAGTGGTGGACAATGCTGTTTTACAAAATAAAATCTTGCTACAAATGGCCCAACAGCAACAGGTGGTGGCCAACAACACGTCCACGTCCAATAATCCTGCAGAGCTATCAAATGGCCCCAATTCGTCTGCCTCGTCGGCGACAGCTACAAATGCCAGTGGTGGCAGTGGTCGCTATATTTGTCCCTATTGCAACTTAAGCTGTACCAAACCATCAGTGCTACAAAAACACATTAGAGCCCATACCAATGAGCGTCCTTATCCTTGTGATATTTGTGGCATTGCCTTTAAAACCAAAAGTAATCTTTACAAACATTGCAGGTGAGTTCCCGCAAAACTCCGTATATCTTCAAGTGTTTTAATTCATTTTTCTGTTCTTTTAGATCTCGTTCCCATGCTGCACGCCAGAAAGGCATTGAAGTGCCACCCGATGCCGATGATGGTCTATCAGATCAAGATGTGGACCCTGAGTTAAGTAACAGCAGTTCGGAAATGGTAAGCAGGGTGCATGCTAATAGCAACCTAAAATTAATTTGTTTTCTCAATTTCAGCTAAGTCGCACGGATTCTCCCATGGAGGATGTTGCCATAGTCTCACAAATACAACAGCAGCAACAACAAATGAATGAACCTCATACGCTGATACCGACGCCCATGAATTCAAATTCCTCAATTGGAGCCTCGCCGTTACCGTTACCAGCATCACCTGCCTCTCGCGGGTCTGCCCATCAGGCGGGAACCCAACCGCAGCCAAGTCCCATAGCGCATCAACAACAACAGCAACAGCATCAAAGTCAATTGCCCTTGGGTTCACCAGCAGCTGGAACTTTGGCGCCAACCAGTGCCACAATAAACCAAAATAATGTTGGCGGCAGCAACAGTTCCGCTGCTAAGCAAGCCATCGATTATAAGCCATATAAACCAAAATTTCATAATGCGGCCTTGTACAACTCGCCAAAAGAGGCTGCAGCAGCAGCCGCTGCTGCTGCCACCACAAACATTGTATCTGCGGAAACTAATCCTACGCCCGCAGCTAATACAAGAGGGGAATTTGTGGCAACATCACAACCCCCACCTCAAACTAAACAACCTGAAATGGGAATTGTAGCCGGATCTACCGGTGTATGCCTGCCACAGGCTCTGAATCATCAGCAATACCAACAACTCTTAATTGAAGCACAAAAATATGCTTCGTCCCAAGTTGGCCATTCACCGGCCGCGCCAATTGGAGGTGGATCAGCAGCAGGAGGAGGAGGCCAGCCACCCTCCTCTGTACAACACCAACTTCATCATCATCCCACATTATCCCCCAGCACCCAAATCAAATTAAATAATCACATTAGTAGTCATCAGCTGCAGCAGCAATTGCAACAGCAACAACAACAACTGCATCAATTGGCCCAAGCACAAGCAGCACAACATCCACATCATTTGTTGGCTCCACCTCCCGCAAATGCTCTGTCATTGCCCCTGGCAGCGGCTGCATATTATTTGGGCCCGCCACCTGGAGCCTTTTACAATCCCATGACTGTGGCCCATCAACAGGCCTTTGCTTCGTTGCATTTAATGACGCAACAAGAGCAACAACAGTTCCGTCACCAGTTACAATTGCAACAACATTTGCAGCAACTTCAACATTCCGGTGTCATAACACCAGCGACAGTGGTGGCTGCTCCCCAGCCTCCACCACCTCCGTCTCAGCCCACACCTTTAATCGCTGTTGCACAATCTGGACCACAAACTGCCTCCTCTCCATCGCCAGGGCAAAATCACATTAAAACACACACACCGGTAATGGGTAACACCGGAGTCGTAAGGCCCACCCCGACCAGTGTCAACAACACCGCACTACATCTTTCTAAACCTAGTCCAGCTGCAATACCTGCCACCAATGTTCCGCAACAGAGTCCTTTACATTATTTGGCCAGTGCTGCTTTAAACAGCCAACCAGTTGCAACCGTTGCAAATAACAAACTAGCGGGGGAAATTGTATCGTCGGAACCATTGCAACAGCAGCACCAAATGTCAAATAACGGCGGTCACCAGCGTCCTAATGCAAATCACAATTCACAAAATTCAAATAATGCCGGAGAAGTACCTTTGGTAAGTTAAAAATATTTGAAAATATAATTACGTCAAGAAAAACACATTTTAATCTTTTTTGTTGTTTTGTTGCTTTGATTTCCTTTCAGAACAAGGAAAACCTTCATGAGCGCATCAACAAAATCATATCCCAAAATGAGGCTATTGTTGAGAACAAGGAACTGTTGCTACAAAAGAAATATCCAAAAACCTTAAATCGTTCACGGAGTTTTACAAATGCCAATAACTCGGCTGCGTCTGGATCTTCGGCGGGTAGCACGCAGACGTTGCAAAGCACAACAGGTGGACCACCGAGTGAATCGCCGACAAATGCCAAATTGGCTCAGGTTATAGTACAAAAGCAGCAATTACAACAGCAGCAGCAACAGCAACAACAATTGCAGCAACAACAGCAGCAATATTTATACCAACAACAATTACAACAACAGCAGCAACAAATGCAAAAGCAGAGGCACATGTATTCTGAAAAAGTGAATATGGAAGATGTTGTTTTACCCCTGAATGGGACCTCTAAAAATGTAATGTCCAAACACCTGCCAAATCAATCGCAAACCCAAGCCCTTCCACCACAATCCAACCAGCCACTAGCAAATCAGGGTCTACACCCTTCCCAAATGCATCCATATCGTGGACCAAACTCTACGACAAACACCCAAGCTAATTCCCAACATCAAACTCCTGCCTCTACAAATAGCCCTGCCATGGCAAATGTGCCCCTAAATCTATCGGCAAAATCCAAGGCCCCGATTGTTGTGGAGGAACGGATTGATTTGTCAACATCGAAACAACCCCAAGGTCCACTGCCACAACAGCCGCCGCCAGCTACACCGCGAAAGCGACACTCCATAGAACAAGCCAGTCAACCAACTGCCATAGTAAATCCGGTCGCCTTGAATGAGGCCTCAAACTCTTCGAATTCTAATTCACAAGCTGCACATCAAGCCACCGCCGTCGCCTCCTCCTCCAGCTCAGCACCAGCAGCTGGCAAATATGCTCCCAATCATTCCATTATCAAAAATCTACTACTTAATGCCCGCGGCTTGGCAGTTCCCATGGGCGAAGGAGAAGATGCCGTTTACATATGTCCCCTGTGTTCCACGGAATTCCGCACCGCCGAAGATTTACAATTGCACAACAGCGCATATTGTCAGGGCAATAATAGTAGTGCAAATTCTCCTGCCTCATCACCATCACACAAATATTTTCGCTCCAGTTCGATACATTCTCTGAATATGAGCGATCTGAAAATTCTTTCCAAGAATCCCTTGTCTTTGGCCAAATTGGCATGGTCCCAATTGAAGATAAAGCCCAGTAATTTGGTGCTCGATCGCTTGAGTGCATCGCAGGCGAACACATCGAAGAGTAATAGTAGCACAACAACCTCGGAAACCTCTACCCAGCCAAGCTGTTCCACAACAACACAATTGGCTGCTGGCACCAGCAATTCCACACTGGCCAACCAATCGACATCAACCAGCAGCAGCAACAACAGCGGTGCAACGGCAGCGAAATCTCATTTAGCCCTCAATGATATACCAATTAGATTTGTTGATGCCCCCTTGCCCTCACCAGGACCGCTATTGGGTAAAACCCCCTTAGTTGACTATACACCCAATGACACCAAACACAAATCCGAGGAAGTGATCATTACCAAAATGCACGATGATCGTATGTATACCAATATGAACTTCAACGAACACCATCATCATGCAACAGTTGTGGCCTCCTCCGCCTCCTCATTGGCCATCAATAATAAACGTTTGAAGTTTGAAACATCTGCCAACAACAAACGCCTAACCAACATTACCAGCGGTGGAGAAATGCAACCCCTAAACCCCCTCGAACTCTCTAAAAAGGAAGAACGTTTAAAACGTTTTACCTCCTCCGGTGGCTGTATGATACCATTGTCGGAATGTGATGATGTCGACAAAAGTCCAAAAATGATAAGAACTCCACTGCTGTCAGGAGGTAGTTTCCAAGAAGTCTCACCTAAAAAGGAAACGAAGTTGCCTGTGCCGCTCATCCAAGGTGCTCAGCTGACACCAAAACTAGCGCTGGGTTTGTCCACGTCGTCTTCTGGACCCCAGCATTTTCAATTCCCTCCCATAAATCAAATAACAGCCTTCAATCCGTTAACTTTGCCGCTAACGGAAAAGGTTATTCCCTATGTACCGGGTATACCTGGACCCAATAGTCTAACGCCACAAATGCATTTGGCACAACAGCCGCAGCAGCAACAACAGTTGCATTTACAAGTGCCGCCCCAGCAAAAGCCAAGGACTGTAAGTCCAAACCGCAAACTAGCATTGAGCCCCAATGAACCGGGAACTTCCTCCAATAAATCCGTGACAACATTTGGTGGGGTACAAAACGTGCCAAGTGAATTCTCGAAGGCTCCACCCACAGCCAATATGCGCAATGTCAAAAATTGGAATTCCACCAGCGGCAGCAGCAGCAACAAACTAAATTTGCCAGTAGCTGCAGCTGGCGGAGAAGTAAAACAGTCATCAAAGTCGTTCAATTTTTTGCGAATGGCTGATAATTTAAGTCCCCGCAAATTAATGGCCGAAACCGAGACCAGACATTTCAATTTGGAACGTGTGGCCAAGGATCAGTTGAATATACAACAGCCTACATCTGTTTCAAATATTGGTGGTGCCCAAGCACTGTCTCCCACGGCAGCTACTTCATCATCAACGCTTACACCCCTGCATGTGGATACCAGTCCCGGTCAGGTAGGCCCAAATGAATCGGCGATAATAATGGAAAGCAAACCTAAATCCAAGTTCTTGAGACCAACCAGCTTGCCACTAAGGCCAGGCACATTTACACCCAAACGTCACCATGGCATAACACCTACAGCCAACACCTTGCCTCTGATATCGCCCGAAACACCAAGACCCTCAAAGGAATGTGTACAATTATATTTGAATGGCAATTCCTACACCTATTTGGGTCTGAAATCGAGTACGAAAACATTCTATTGCACCCTCAACTGTCCACAGCCCTCGTACGTCCAAGACATGCATAAGTTGTCAATGTACAGCATGTGGCAACAGTGTGCCGAAAACAATCCCCATCCCTTGGGCTTGAAACCCAAAGAAGTTATGTCTTTGTATGATTCCAGACAAAAGGTGCAAATCTACAATATGGCTGAGAGTAAGAAGCTGGCCTACACCGTGGTGGATGCCCAGCAGATGGTCATGACGCCCTTCCTAAGTAGTCAGGATAAATTTTATCATCATCAATTGAAACGCGTTGCTGTCAGTGAAGAAGAATCAGCTGCCAATAAAGAAGATAATAAATCGACTGCTGTTGAGCACAGAGATTCCAGCCAAATGTCAAATAATTCCGCCTCAACATCCTCCTCCTCTTCGCAAACTCTGGTCGGTGGTTATGAGTCGAACGAAAACTACACCTACATACGCGGAAGGGGACGTGGCAAATACGTTTGCTCCGAATGTGGCATACGTTGCAAGAAACCTTCAATGCTTAAGAAACACATCCGTACCCACACCGATGTAAGGCCCTATACCTGCAAGCATTGCAATTTCAGCTTCAAAACCAAGGGTAATCTTACCAAACATATGCAGTCTAAGACCCACTACAAGAAATGCATTGAATTGGGTCTCAACCCAGGCCCCATGCCAGCCGATGGCGAGTTTTTGGAACCTGATATGGAATTTGACCAGCAATCATCCACGTCGGCCGGTGGTAGAACTTCCTCTATGGGCAATGCTGAATCGGATACAGATGGCGATTCAAGTGATAACGAAACCGAAAGCAGCAATGAATCGGATTCAGCTGCAGTTACCCGGTCGAGTGTTCCCAGTTCTGTGGCACCACCAAGTATAACAGTTAATGCTGCCAGCGAAGATAACAAATCACATTTGGAACATGAAGCAGCCAGATGTTTGCTCTCGCTATCAATGACACCTCCCATACACAGCCAGTCCACAGAAACGTCTGCCCAAATGGTGGTGACAACTGTAATGGCAACATCCGCCACAGCCACGACAACAACACCATCTGCCATACGACGAGTCATCTCCTATACATCACCGAAGCCGCCATTTGACTATCAGAAACAAGAGCAATACTATTCGAATCCCGAGGAGGCTATGCCCAAAAATAAGGCAATTAATAATTTCGAAGCAGCGCCAATGGACCTAACTAAGCCGCGTAGCTCGGATGTGAGTGTTACAACAGTAAACTCTCTGCCGGCGACAGTATTGGTCCATGCATCTTTACCGAATAGCAGCAGCAACAACAAGCAACCATCTTTGTCCTCATTACCAGGTCCCGTGCAAACACAGGCCCAAATTGACGATGTCATTTTCGGTGGTAATCGTGACGAATCGGGGCTCCTCAAAACAATGATATCGGTTTCATCCAAAGTGGCCCGCAGTCAACCTGGCATCTCTGAGGAGGTAAGGAATCTCAATGAAGATATGATGTTGTATGATTATCGTCGTGAACAAACCCTGCAATATAACAAAATCAAACAGACCCAATTGAGTCGAAGTCTGGCCAGTACAGCGAATGAAGTGGCGACGACAACAACTATGGCCTCTTCCAATGCATATGTCAACGCTATGTCATCATCGACTGCCACAACGGTTACGCAAGTTTGTTGTAGCATAAGTTCAGTGACGGCAACAGTGATAAGTAGTCGGGACTCTGCCATCGTATCGAGTGGTGTGACGACAACACCAGCAGTAACCACAGCGGCCATTATGGGTGAAAAAAGTAAAACTGAAATACCCGTGCAAGTGCCAAAAATTGAAGTCGTTGAGCCTGTGGAGCAAAGTCCACGAACAAAATCAAATGAAGTATCGTCCTCCGCATTTCATCCTGCCTCGGTCACAAACGTGGAGATACGAAAACCACCACCTGCCAACCAGACCAAAACATCATCCGATGAAAGTGAGGAAACCGATGATGAACCACCCGCCAAAAAACATCTGACAATGGGCAGTGAGGAAAAGATTTCCGGCCACAATTCTAATTTACCTGCGGCGGTCTTGCAGCCAGGAACCACCGATTTTTCGGGTGTACTTTCGGGAGGATCAAACAGTAGCAGCAGTGCTGGTGGTGCCTCCTCCCAACTACCCACCCGTACCGTAATTGTGGGCGAAGATGGTTTTACCACAACGAACAATGAAATATTACCCGTTCATCCCAAGGTACCACCTTTGACCAATGCCGATGGCCGGCCGGTGTGTTCCATCTGTTCGAAGACCTTCCAGAAACAACCACAATTGATATTACACATGAATATCCATTACATGGAACGAAAATATAAATGTGATCCGTGTGGAGTGTCTTTTCGTACCCAGGGACATTTGCAAAAACATGAACGATCGGAGGCGCACAAGAATAAGGTGATTATGACCTCAACATTTGGAGTACCCACGACTTCAAATCCGCGACCTTTCGAATGTACCGACTGTAAGATAGCATTTCGTATCCATGGTCATTTGGCCAAACATTTGCGATCCAAGACTCATGTGCAGAAACTTGAATGCCTGCAAAAATTACCATTCGGCACATATGCTGAAATCGAAAGGGCTGGCATAAGTCTAACTGAGATCGATACCAGTGATTGTGAAAACTCACTGATATCATTGCGTTTACTGGCCCAGAAGTTAATTGAAAAACATCCCTCCTCAAAATTGGGTAGCTACACGACACCATCGGGTGTGCAGGATAATAATTCCAACACAGGTTTGGTGTCACAGGACAGCGCCTCGGAAGATGGCTTCCAAGCGGCGGCCAGTGCGGCTGCATCGGCCATAGCTTCTTTGGATAATGATAGTGCTGCAAATACCCCACGGCGGGCCAATTCCACCTCGGAAGATGAAAGTATTGCCATGGCTTTGAATAATAATTTGAAAAGACGACTGCCCGGCGCCTTTAGCAATGGTGACGATAGTGATAAGGATATACAGGATGACAAACGTCTGAGACAAGATCTTGGCGGTAGCCATCAAATGCAATCGGCGGCTAGTCCACCAGCAAACTGACATTACATTTTCGCCTATCCCGAAAGATGAATAATGTTTGCATCGCCCCCATCATCAGCATCATTATGACAAACGGCAACAGCATCAGGTCTATTTGATAGCACCCCAAAGCCTATTATGTACATGAAAAGTCCACAATATCATAGGCAAAACCCCAAGAAGGAGGCAATAATTCAAGATCATACAAATATTTTGCCATACACAAATACCAGTTACCAACAGAATTATCATACTCAATATTGTCATTTGTCGACTTCCCCACCGTCAGCAACACTGAACCGCTAAAACTTGTTGAATAACCCACTGTTTCTTTTTTTACCAGAATCACAACTCTCAGGACCAAATTTCCTTATTACACAAAAACTTTAACAACAATCCAAAAATAAAAAATAAAACAAACGATGAAACCAACTCTCTACTCATCATATCCCTACAAACATATCGTGTTGAACAAGAACATTTATATAGAAAAAAAAATCAAGGCTTTAAGCATCTCCTTTAAAAAATAATAAATTTAACAAGTTTTGGCTGGTATTACTTGGGATAAAATGTCATACACTCACCCCCACCACCCACCCCTTTTCTAAAAACAAATCAACAAATATATTTGATATGTATAACTATCAAAAAACAAAGCTAACAGAAATATATCAAAACATTTACACAAACACTTTTACAAAAACCTCTCTCCCCCCCAAAAAAAAGAAAATTGAACCGGAAAAATATATCATTTTTGTAAAAATGCTAACAAAGTATATTTCAATATTCTTAGTCTATACTGTACATTAGATACTTGATAACAAATACTTTATAAACTATAAAATTAAACTGTGGTACTGTTTTTGTAGAAAAAATCGATAGTCATAATTAAAAAAAAAAAAAAAAACTAAATTTGAAATGTTCCAAAGGGAATTTTCTGTTTTATAAAATAATTTATTTTTGTCTAACAAAACATCTTAAGGCTTCTTTAAAATGTTAACTATATTAATTTTCCCTTTCATATTTTTGTGATTCAAAAGAAAAAAGTTAATAATAACAATGAAATAATCAATGTTCTTCCTATGTTTTATGAAAATTTTCAATACTTATAGAATTGTTAAACTTTTACTTTGTTTTACTCTTATATATATATATTTTTTTCTTTTTTAAATACACTAAAGTTTAGTTTAAAAAAAGGATTACAAGAAAAAAAAAAAAAAACCAACGAGACTACGAGACTCATATATAAAAAACATATTATTATTTTATTTTTAAACAACAATTACACTGAGCTGCAAGAAGAATAATATGTTCAAGAGGTGACCAGAACAATGTGGATTTTTTAGGATTTATTCTTAATGTATTTTTTTAGATTTATTCTCATTGTCTTTTCCCAGCTTCCATGCAATTTCTCTTCTTTTGTTTACTATTTCAAATGAAAAACTAGGAAAAGAAAGTGGACTGTAGAGAATTTCATGAATTAGTATCAAATATAATTGGTCTTTACTTGGCTAATTTCTGATTATACAGTTTCTGTTAAAACTACACCATGAAACCCCTACCTTAAACTTCTAAATTTTTAAATATCCTCTTTTCTGCAGCTTTGTGTTATTATTGCCTTTTTAAAAATTGTGTTTACAAATTCGTCAAAAAACAACTACTTTAGTTAAGAATTTAGTTGCAATTGTATAGCAGACTTCTTTATTTTTAGATTATATATAAAAGAATAATAAAACATAAATGTTGTACAAAACAAAAGTATCATCTAAACAGAAAAAAAATTAATTTTATTTTTAGTTTATATAAAACATTATGTTAGTGTAAAAACTATGCTTAAGATAACATAAAGAAATGTGGAAACTATAGTTAATATAAGTTTAAAACTTGAAAATCAACAAACAAATTATATTATACACATATTTCATATACAAATTTGAATTACAAAAAAATGAAAATAATAAACCATATAATTTTTACGTAGAAATAGGTTATATTTATGTATATAATATTATATATAAGTCAACACTTTATATTAAACAAAAAATATCTCTTAATGTATTTGCAAAAAAAACATAATTATACATATACATATATATTTTAAAAAATGTATATTTAAACTTATAAAAACAACATTTGTATAAAAAAATTACATTATTTGTAATTGTCTGTGTATTGTGAACAATTATTATATATAGAATGAATATATGAAAAACAACAAAAAAAAATTACAAAAAAAAAAAACAAATGTTTGAAATAACAAACAAAAAATAAAATTAAAACTTTTGAAAAATAAAAACAATATTTGTTGTTGCGTTTGTTTTCTGGGACTCTGGGTTGTAGATGGCACGTCTTTTGGCGTTTAAAATCTAGTTTGGAAATAAAGATATTCCTACAAGAAAAGATAAAAAATTTTAATTGTCATAGATATACCTTAAATTGAAGTCAATTTCCACTTACCAACAAAAATGCCGCACCCAATATTAGGGCGCGATCTTTTGATGTCAGTTTTGCATCACTGAAATAAATATTTGTTGTATACTGCGATTTGCCATTCATCCATTTGCGATCTATCGAAGCTCTTAATTCTCCGCCCGAGTGTATTTTAAAATATGTCTCTTTGGGTAAACAAAAACAACAGAAACCCGTATTCTTGGGCCCCTCGACGCAAAATATGGGATTGCCTGTAACACCGTCTTCAATGTAAAATTCGGGTGCCAGGATTGTGGGTGATTGTACAATACGTCCCAAAATATTACCCGGTGGTATCCACACCTCTAAACTTTTGGGTTGACAACACATGAAACCCAATGCCAATTTACGCTGAAACAACAAAGCCTCCTGATGGGTTTTATCGATTAAATGCATATGAAATGGACGAGCTGATCCCAATATTAAACGATTTCTTTCGGTTGAGTATTCCGAGGCGGCATACAATGCTTCACCCACAACGGAACGTACTACATAACGATTTTCGGATGAAACGCCGGTGAGAGCTGAAAGAAGAAGGAGAAATAAGCTAAGAACCTTTTTTTCTGTTAACACACTCTCACTTACACTCATTCAATTCAAATGTTTGTTCTATATACACGGAAGGTATGTCCTTGAGAAAATCATATCCCGATAGTGGTATGTAAGTACTTTGTACACCTCTGGCATTTTGTTCGACAGTTGAGATAGGCAGTGGTATTCGATCAGAAACTAAAGTGGTATTCGGTTGGTAAATTATTTTGTAATTGTTGAAAAAAATGTATTATTTACCTCTTGGTTGAGAAGTTATACTAACGGGACCATCGAAAACTGTAAATAAAATATTAATGAGAAAAATAACAACAATATCGGTAATAATAAAAATAATAACAACAAAAAATAATTATAAAAATATTAATATTAATGATAATTTCAATAAATAAATATTTCTTTGAGCTTTAGGTCTGGGTTTTTTTTTTCTTTATTAAAATCCGATATTTCGCAATGGGTTACATTGCATCTTCAGGGAGATCTACAAAAATACATTTTGATTTTTATATTTCATGTAACCCAGACCTAAAGCTCAAAGAAATATTTAATTATTGAAATTACATTGGAAAAGGTCGATTAAAAAACAAACTTGAATTATATTAATGATAATAATAATTCTAATAATAATTATATTAATAATACTGATAAGAATAACAATGATATATATAATTTCATGTCTCCGTAAATATCAATCTGAACTTCCAAAAAGTACATATTTATAATATTTCACACATAATTTCGATTCCATCTAGACTTTTTCTTGAAATTTGGTGCCAATATAAAATTTGTTACCAGACAAAACCATAGTAAATGAAAATTTTCATTTTGCTTTATCCAGGGTAAAGGGTCGATTATAAGTTTGAAGGGATCAGTTTTTTTTTTTCAAAGAGAGTGTTTTCGAAATTTGGTATTGATAGTCAATTTGCTTTTAGACAAAAATATGTAGCAGATGAGTTTTTTTTTTTTGCTACAATTTTTAACGTTTTCCTTTAATCCTGCCTATTGCATTTATACAAGTCAATTTGATCTCAGCAATTTTGTTTTTCATAATCGCTTTTACTGACATTTTTATTTATAATTTTGTGTAAAAATAAAAATTCCTACCTCTCGGAGAGAGGGTTACTTCGACAAACAGAGACTTGACCAATATAAATTCGGTCATTCATTCGGTTAACATTCGAAAAAGGGACAAAGATAACAAAAATATTTAAAATTAACTTTTAAAATTGCGTACTAATCTGTTGTAAACAAAAATGCAAGAGTCATAAAAACAAAGAATTCTGTATCTACTCCCAAACATCTCCAATAGATAATAATGACACTCGAAAGCTTTTGACTTATTTGTAATGAAACAATAAATGAAAATCTGGCCAATGAATTTCTTGGTGTAAATGACCGTTTCCACTGTAGCAATACAAACAGCAGTTTGCTGCACATTTTAAAAAGGAATTATGTTTGGGATAAAGTCAGGGGCTAAATTTACGCGTTTGAGATCAAACACATTCTGATGTAAATTATTTTATTCTAGTCCGAATTTATATTAGCCAAGTTTACTTTTGGCTAATCTCTGTTTGTTGGCAAGTTGAAAAATGCTCGTAGTTGCCAATTTTCTAGAAATTCCTATTATTTTTATTTTTTTATACAAAATTATAATTAACAATGACAGGAAAAAGCATAATGAAAAACATAATTTCTTTAATCAACATGTCAACAGGCAAGTTCAAAAAATGATAAAAATTGTAGCAAGAATACACACAGGATTCTTGTTCTATGAAAATATGAAATGAAAAATATTTCCTTTATAAAATTTTTCATTTGACATTTCTTTCCTTTATAAAAGTTTTCATCATTTTCATAGAACAAGAATTGAGGCTCTGCTGGTCTAAATCTGGATCTAGTTTGATAAAATGTTATGTTTCGTTCAATATTTTTAGATGTTGATGGCCAAACACAAATTCATTTCGATCAAAATTACTGAATTTTTAAAACAAATTCTTTGATTTTTTTAGTTTGAAATTAAAAAAATACTCAAAATAATTTTCCAATCATTCATATACACATTAATACTGAATTTAGCACAAATCCAATTAAAAAAAAAAACTATACGATAAGATATGGCCCCACGCCTTTGTCTGAAAAGTATTATCTATAGAATTTGAAGAGAAATTTCACAACTATTTTTTTAACCAATGTATTGACCTCTTGGTTCCGAGTGATTTTGTTGAGCTACACGAATTTCACTGTCATATTGTAAATTGCGAACAGCATCCTCTTGTAGCATTGTTAAAAATATTGCAACCGATTAATTCAATATATATATTTTTCTGTTTGGGAGAATGTCCAACAAAGTCTACTTCAACTGTCTTTAACGCTTTTCAAAATCAAACTGACATTTTATTAATGGTTGTTGATAGTAGTGGTTGAAAGACCCTTCCTCCCTCCCCTTGCTATTTTAGCCATATATGAAATATTGTTTGTTTTGGTACTGATAACGTTTGCTTGGTATCAAGCTATCGATTAGACACTCATAAGTACATATGGCTAAAAAGGTAAAATATATGTGGCATTCGCCAGCCCCCTGCCATTTTTATACAAGTGATATTGAGAAATAAAATAGGCATAAATAGTATAAAATTTATTTTTTATAATCTTTTGATGGCATATATAGCGACATATGATGCACTATATTTATACCTGCACATCTAGATTATCTTTATTCGTATTATCAGAACATTCTCAGGTGAAATCAGAGGGACGGGATGAATGAGTCATCTCATATATTCAAAATATGTAGACCCATTTCTAAACTGAGAGTATGAATAGCTTGAATATTTTCACATAGCCCTGCACAGTTTGAGCAACAATAACGGTCGATATTAACGAAATCTTGCATTATATTGGTGTAAGATTAAAAACGCGTTAATGTTAACGTGGTTTTAAGTTTCCGCCTGTGAACCGCCAATCTCACATTCATTGCAAAGAGAATTTCATCACTCAAAAATAATCAGTACTTTTAAAATATTACTCTATAATAAGGGAAATGTTTACAGTCGGGAAACTGTAAACATTACCTAAATTTTAAAAGTAAACACACATACATAATTAATTATATAACAAAAACTTACATTAGATGATATAATAATTTTATGTTGTAGATCATTTTTATAAATTCCATTGCATAAATAAAAATTCACTCCTTCTAGGTAAGGAACAGAGCTTTAATTAAAAAAGAAAGTTGGTAACCCTATACACAAAAATCAGCTGAAACAACAATCGCAACAAACTGAACTTCACCAACAAACTTAAGAAAAAAAGAATAAATCGAAAGCGCAAACTCCCAAATAAATATTTACAACACTAAATAAACATTAACAAAAGTGAAAAGTAAAAATCAACAAAATACAATAGTTGACAAAAAATTGTCAAATACTCATGTGTATTTGAGTGGAAAAATCCTGCGAAAGTGCAAACAGGTAATGGACTCCAACAACGCCTGTAATCTCTTATTGCTTATTTGTATCGAAATAATATTTGCAATAGCAGTGAATTATTAAATATACTATTATTTATGTGAAACATTGTTTGAGTGTGAAATTGGGGATGATTTGTTTTTTGGACGTGTGTGTAATTTGTAATCATCTAGGGGATAGGGTATTATAGTGCAATAGGAGTGTTCACGTATGTGAGTTTTCTGCAATTTCCTACTTGAAGTGTGGCAAAAAGTGAAAATTATAACTAGTAAAGGGGCGGAAATTTTAAATTAAAACCAGTTTTGATACGAGACCTTCTATCAATGTAACAAGAGCCAACTCATTTTGTTATTGGCAAAACAAATAGATTAATGAGCATACTTTTAGGCGGATAACAAAGTGAATATATAGACAGGTATCATTTTTTTCAGGATGTTGAGTATTAGAAATGAAAAAGTCAGTCGGATTTTAAATAAGGAACACAAACGTTAAAGGTACAATAATTGTAGAAATTAGAAAAGGAAGAAGTTTCAATGCTTTTCAACATTTGAATTTTTATCAAAAAACTGTAGAACAACCTTGAAGACAATCGGAATCTCACACTTTATAAGACTTATAATTATTCGAAATTTTAACCCTTTAAGGAGGAGGTGCCTGATGGAGTGAACCGACATTGTCCATTTTCGCACCTGACCTAGCACTGATGAAAATATTAGGATTTGCAAAGCTAGAGCAAAATCGGATTATCCTTTTTTTCTGTGCAATAAAATATTTTTTCAAAATGCCGACCTTTTGTGTGTGTGTGTGTGGGGGGGCGTACCAGAAGAAGTGGACCGATATTGCCCATATCCGAACTCGATCTAAATTTGATAATAATATTACTATGTACCAAGATTGGATCAAATCGGATACTTCCTTCTAGAGGTATCGTGCGCACCAGCAGTCAGGCTGAAAGACACACGGTCGGACGGACATCGCTAGATCGACTCCAAATGATTTGGTTCAAAGAGATCTAGGGTCTAAAACCGTTATTTCGATGAGTCACGTTTTGGACGTATCAAATTATATCTATCCTTATAACTGAGGGTATAAAAAGGCCAGAACAAATAAGGAGCATAAAGGTTCTTTATATGTAGCTAGAATGATTAAAATATTTGCAATATTCTTACTTTTAATTTTGCTCCGTTGGATTTGAATAAATTATTGAACTCTAAATGGACTTTTCCACTTATCTGTATATGTATATCATTATCCTACCTTCCTATATGTCACCACATAAATCCAGAATGTGCCGATTAGAAGTTTCTGACCGTAAACTATTATTTGCAGTTCCTATTTCATAGTAATCAGTTATATAGGATAGAGTCGAGTTTCCTGAATTCAGAGAGAGTGCATATGCCTCGATGTCTAGCACTCGAATGTGTTTTTTCCTCACCTCTATTATAGACAATCCTTGATATTTTTAATGTTCGCCAAAATGCTTCTCTTCTAAAGTAAATACAATTTTAAGGCTACAGCGCAGTCCTTAAAAGATGTCATTAAACCTTAAATACCTCTTTTACCTGCAGTAATGTAATTCTTCATCTACCTATTCGCGGTGCCTCCAAAATGTATTTACTAAACAAATACTTTACACATTAGGCAAGCAATAAAAACATGTGTCTTTTTAGTAAGAACCATGTGTATTTTTTAGTTACAGATACTAACGAAACATATACGAACTATTGTGTGTGGAATACCCCTATTGTTTCTCCCTTTGGTGGCAGTCTATTTTTAAAAGGAAACACACAAAGTTATGTTATTTTGACAGACTGCATGGAAGGAAGATACATGAACAACGGTATTTTTAGTTTGTGAGAACAACGGAAAGAGCAAAGACAATGTAGAAAATAAAATAAAAAAATCTGAAGAAAATTGGCAGCGGAAACAGTTTAACAGTGCTAAATAGACAAAATCAACTTATTTTAAAATAAAAAAGTTTAAATTAATTAAATAGAAGAATATAGGAAAAAAACTAAAAAAGGAAACAAATAAATTTTCCAAGTAAAGAAATTTGCAACCCCCAATTAAGAGAATATAGAAAATTCGGACAAACTCAAAAGAGATCCAATTTATTACTCCCCTCGCAAGCAATGCAACGTTCCCCAACAAACAATGCTGGATGTTGTTATGTTTTGGGAGAGTTCAAATTAAGTTCAAAAATATTTGAGGGTTGTTTCTCTCTTGAATAAACTGGAGCAGCAACACCAACAACAGCAACCACCTTTAACATTTTTTGACAGTCAGAATTGGTAACCGTTACTCCGTTACAAACATACATATACACCAACCGAAAAGTGAAAACAAAATAACAGTAAAAGGAAAATCATCCATGAGGAAGAGAAAATCTTGCAAAATTTTCAAAACTATCGAAACACTGAAAATCTTTAAACAAATTCAACGAATTTCAAACGAAAACATATAAAATTGGTCATGTCGTTGGAGGATCCTTTCTTTGTGGTCAAAGAGTGTGTATTGTTTCAAATAAATAGAAGAAGAAAAAAATCCAGTGAATATGTTAAAGAATTTCGTTTTAAATTTTAATTTTTCCTCTCTCTTTCTCTCTTTCTTCCTTTTGTTCTGCTCCCCTTCCCATGGTGGTTTTTAATTTATTATAGCGAGGTATTCAAAGCTTTAAATAAAACCCGTGGCCTCTATCTACGTTGGCGTGAATTGGGTGAAAATTGCAACAGTGCGGAAGCTGAATGGACCACAAATGAGTTAAGGAATTCATTGCGTAGCATTGAATGGGATTTGGAAGACTTGGAAGATACAATCAATATCCTTTTCAAATTAGACAATAGGGAATGGCCATAAATCACAAACCCTGCAATAAAAGTGGGGGGCTGGTCGAAAAAAAGAAAACGCATATAAAAAGAAGAACAACTTTGTGTGTGGGGTTTCAAATGATGCCACTCGAAGCCATTAAAAAATTTTGGCAACTAAAAAATTGTGTGAAAAATCAATGTTGACAAGTGTTGTACTGTGCTGTCGCCGTTTTTCTGACACAGCACAAAAACAAGCATTAGACGACAACATTTGTGTGACACAACAAAACGACACTAGCTTGTTTTTCCGCTTTTCATATTCTGTTTTGATCTCGGGTTTCGCCAAGTGCTAATTTTAAACTGCAAATTATGACATGGTTTTAAATTACATTGTAAATGTTTGTTTTTGTTCTCGATGAGACAAGGGGGCATGACCTCACCGTGTCAACTTCTATGGGGTTGGATTTTCTTCCCGCCCAACATAATTGCATATTTTTTGTAGATTTTTTTTTTCTAAAATAATAATAATTAGAGATGAATTTCACTTGTAGTGACCCCTGGAGGTTTTGCAACACGAATAATTTAAAAATTTGAAAGGTCGCCTAATTATGACTTTAGAACGGTACTAAATAAAATAAATAGGAAAAAAATTTTAAGAAGGAGATAAATCTACAATTTTTTTGATATTTAAGCCCCCTTTAACGTCATCATGTGAGGTTCATATGTAAAGTGATATTTTCATATTTTATAGCATACGTTCAAACTAAAAGAAACGCTGTTCTAAAATATATACCATATTTATTTTATGATATTATATGTAAAGTAACCTTTTCCCCATTATCTTTAGGATAAGCATTTTTTTAAACGTTATCCGAATTATTAGACTGTGAAGACACGCTTCATTTTATGTTATAAATTAATATATTTATATATTTATGATATTACATTTAATATCATAAATATATTAATTTATAATATAAAATGAAGCGTGTCTTCACAGTCTAATAATTCGGATAACGTTTAAAAAAATTCTATATCCTAAAGATAAATGGGGAAAAGGTTACTTTACATATGGCATCATATGTAATCTGGTCTGCAACATAGTTTTGATAAAACCAGTGAAAAAAGCAGCTAAGTTCGGCCGGTCCGAGCTTTTTATACCCTCCACCATTCGGAAAAAAACTAGAAAATTTTCAAAAAAAAACCGTCGAAAAATACCACTCAATGAAACCTTTAATATAGTGGGGTTATACAAAGACGTGGTGCTGGATAAGTAATTTTTTGTCAAAGGCTATAGTAACGATTGCGAACTTCAAATACGAAATACAAAACAATTCCGGTGGATAAAGTCGCTAATATCATCAAAAAACCGAATATCTGGGGGTACCATTGTATGGGAGCTATACTAAGACGTGGACCTGCATAGACAATTTTCCGTCATAGATTGTATTACCCATTACGAACTTCAAATACGAAATTTAATGCAATTCCGGTGAATATCGCCTAAATCCTGGAAATACCGAATATCTCGGGGTAGCATTATGTGGGTGCTATACTATAAAGAAGACCTATATAGACAATTTTCTTCCAGGGACTAAAGTACTCAGAGGGAACTCCTTGTGCGGATTTTCAGACTATTCCAATGGAAAATGTGGCTAAAATCTTCAAAAAACCGAATATCTGGGGGTACCATTGTATGGGAGCTATATTAAGAAGTGGGCCTATATAGAAAATTCTCTTTCAGAGGGTAAAGTACGTACAGAGAACTCTTGGTATAGAATTTCAGACAATGCCATTGAAAAATGTGGCTAAAATCATCAAAATACCGCTATATGGGGGCTATACGATGTCGTGGGCCGATATAGCCCAACTTCGAACTTGACTTGCCTGCAGACCAAAGACAGATCGGTGCAAAATTTTAGCTTCATATCTTTATTTGTTTTGACTCCAGCGTGATTAGAAGAGACGGACAATCGAAATCGTCTTAGAACTTACGCTGTTGGGTCTAAAATTATTATCTTGATGAGTTACAAACGGAATGACGAACTTAATTAAGGTATTTCTTAGAATCCCACATCATTTCGGGACCCTAATTCAAAATTGGCGTTAATTTAGTCATCACCTTAATCTTTTATTTTTTGAGAACAATTATCTGGCATTATTCAAATTATTCCCTAAAGAGTTGAAGAACAATCGAGATGTCCATGTGGCAGACTAGGGGGACTTCATAATCCCCATGTTTCTTACATAAATTCAAGTTTTTCTAGTCATAAATCTTAAATGTCGAGGACCAGCGATGAACCTGACATCTGACAATTAAATACAACATAACGAAATAGATTTCACAAGAAAAAGACTTAATAACACTAAAATATAGTAGAGAACACTACAGTTTTCTAATGGATAAACTCTCTCCAATCGCAAGCTCATTATTGATTAAACTTTCTTGAATTACTACAAATTTCGGGCATAATCAATTGATGTAACCCCATACCACACAACAAAGTTGTCATTATATTAACCAAAAATCTTTAGATTTGTATTCCAACCTTTTACATGGTTTCCACCTTAACCATATAGATCATTTCTCTTCTTATTCCTTTACGCATAGTCGAAAAGAACCCTAGTAAATTTCGTATCGATAATAGAGAATTATCCAGTCGCCGGCACTTTATCGACAACACTCGCGATGAAGTCAAACAGATGAAAGAGAAGATGAGCATTAATCGCTCTCGTGACAGGGATATAACAGCACATCAACCATTATTACAGCAACAGCAGCAGCAGGAGCACGAGCACAATATTGAAAACGATCGAAATTCAACGAATTATAGCTATCATCAGAACAGTAATAACAGCAGTGATCGTGCCCATCTGGTCGATTGTCCTTCGTCGCATTCCCTTTTGAACGGTGGCAGCAGTAGTGTTGGAGCCGTAGTAGCCGGTACAATGGCAGCCGTACGACATAGCGGAGCTAAATACTCCAAATTGGAGAATACAATAGATAGTCCGGGTCATTATAATTCATTGGATAGTCCATCGCATCGATATGTGGGTGAAACGGTGTCGGTGCAACAGCGTATGATGCAGGGTCAGGATGAACAATTGGATATGATAAGTGATTCGATAGGAACTTTAAAGACTGTATCACGTCAAATAGGCGTTGAATTGGATGAACAGGCAGTGTAAGTTGTTGTGTAAGATGATAAATATGATAATTTATTTGTATTAATTTGTCGCTTTTTAATGCCGTTCCAGAATGCTTGATGACTTTGGTAATGAATTTGAAACTACAGAATCAAAATTGGATTCAACAATGAAGAAAATGGCAAAAGTTTTACATATGAATAATGGTGAGTTGGAAATTTGAAAAATAAATCTAGAGATAGGAATTTTTTAATTCACCTTTAATATGGCAATGACACCCTATACCCAATGTAGACGGAAATAATTTTTGCCAGACCACTTCAAGTTTCACGTAATTATACCCTCCGCTAGATGTGGGCTAGTGAGGGTATATATAATTTGATACGGCCAAAACGCGCTTCATCGAATTAAAGATTTTAGACCCAAGGTCTCTTTGAACCAAATCGGTTTCAGGTCATTTTGGTGTCGATCTAACGATGTCCGTCCGTCGGTCTGATTGGCTGCTGGGCACAATATCTCTCGAAGGTAGTTTAGGATTTGGCCCAAACTTGGTACATCGTTATATTATTATCAAACTTAGATCGAGTTCGCAGATGGGTAATATCGGTCCTCTCCTCCTGGTACAACCCCCACAAAAGTTTGAAATTAAAAAAAAATATTTTACAGCACAGGAAGAGATTTCGCTCCAACTTTGCAAGTTCTAATATTTGCGTCAGTGCTAGGTCAGATGCGAAAATGGACAATAACGATCCACTCCGTCAATTACCTCACCCACAAAGGGTCAACATCTTGAATAATTATAACACTTAAACTCATATATCTTAAATACATATCTCAATATTTTTATTAACCCAAGATCTGGTGTGAAAATGGAGTATATCGGACCAATACTTTTGGTACCTCACCCACAAAGCTTCAAAATTGTGAATATCCATGAAGCTTATAAAACGCTAAATTAACATCTGATTCCCTTTAGACTTGGCACATCTCAATATTTCTATCAATACAAGATATCTATGGTAAAGATCGGACCATTCCTTCTTGTACCTCCCCCACAAAGCTTCAAAAGTTTGAATATCCATGAAGCTCATAAAACCCAAAATTATCATCCGATTCCATTCAGACATAGTACATGTCAATATTTCTTTCAATACAAGATCTGTTATAAAGATGGTAGAGATCAGAACATTCCTTCTGGTACCTCCTATACAAAGAGTCAAAGTTTTGAATAACCAAAACGAACATAAAATCCGAAATCAGCATTCGGATCTCTTCATGTTTTACATATCTCATTATTTCTACTTACACAAGATCTACTGTGAAGATGAGATATATCGGCTACTCCTTCTGGTACCTACCCACAAAGGATTAAAATTTTGAATAATTATAACTCTTATAAAATGTGATGTCAGAGTCAGAGTTCAAATTACACATGTCACAATATTTTTATTACTCCAAGGTCTGCTGTAAAACTGGAATATATCGGTCCACTCCTTCTGGTACCTCCCCACAAAGCTTCATAATTTTTAATATCCATGAAGCTCAGAAAACTTGGAATTAATAATTCTCTCAGTTATAGTAGTTAGATTGTGTTGCCGGTTCTCAACTATCTTACCTGTCAGTCCTAGATATTTGGCTACTGAAAGCAGACTTAGAGCCATTCAATCAAAGACTGTTGAAATAATTGGATTTTTTAACTGTCTCGGCCATAATTTCTTTCGAGTATCTTCGAATATTGCAATGTCTCGAAATCCAAAAAAGTAATACTCGCAATTTTTAAAAACCTTTTTTTTTTTTTTGAAAGATCTATATTAAATCCCAGATAGCCTATAGGACAAAGACAACCTGCATAGTCAGTTGGTGACTTAATACCAATATTTTTACAGTTGAATGGAATGTTAAGAGGGGAAAATAGCTCCTCAACCTGGATAAAAATAATCATAGACAATACATTTTTACAAAAAAAAAAAAAAATTATGTTATATCTTTTATCTAAAAGCAAGATTATCTATTATTAATTAAAATTATAGTATTATCGAAAATATTGTATTATATTATTACGAATACTATGATACTAAAATCCCATTTTCAATCTCTTTTGCAGATAAACGGCAATGGGCTGCAATTTTAATACTATCAGCGCTTTTGTTAATTGTGATAATTTTATTTATAATTTTGTAAATCCTTAACAGCATTTTATTTTAGTTTGTTTTTAATTTGCCAAACTTAAAAATCTTTTAAAGAAATTCTATTTTAATGGACAACTCCTTTGGGTTCTTAGTTTGGAAATATTTTATGTATAATTTTTACGAAACATTTTATTAGTTTAAACAACTAAAAATTCAACCTTAACCGTACCGCAGCAATAGTTTCTAATAAATGACAACAAAACCAAATGAAAAGAATGCAACAAAAAGTAAATAAATATATTTTTTAAGATTAATTTATTATTTAAGGGCAGATTTTGAAATAGAGCAATGAATTTACTTAGTTAGTTTTGGTTTGCTATAAAAAAAGTATATTCAGAATAAGAAAAAAATTGAAAGAGTAATCAAATTCCATCTTTTGGTTGGTTTCCTTAATAGACAAAAATCAACAACATCATGTACAATGTAGCAATTTAGGAAAAGACAAAAATAATTAACTATGAAAAGTGGTGATTGTTTCAATAGAAATTCCATAAAAAGTATAATACCAAATAACAAAAGTGCATAATTTGTTATCTTTACTACCTTACTAAATACAGACACACACTCACACCTATATCAAAATGTCCCCATCCCAAAGTTTTCAAAATATAATACCTACATTCATATTTATAAACGGAACACACAGAGACACAAAGTAACTCCCCAAAAGAGAGATGAACAGAATCAACTTGAAACTATTATAACCAAAGTATATACATTCACATATATATATTTTGTTTGTTAATTTGATGATGATCGTCGTCTTACCACTTTAAACAAATTTAATCAAGGAAACAAAACTAAGCAGATGAACTAGTATAAATATTTATATATTTAAGAAACGAATGTAAGTTTAACAAGAATATATAAAATGACACATATATTATTAGAATTGTGTATAAACAACTAATTTGGTTTGAAAAGAAATATACATATATAATAAAACCACAAAAGAAAATAAATAATATGAGTGTTTTATTCCGAACTAGAGAGAGTGTAACTTATACCGATAAAAGGATTAACTAAAGACCATCAATATCAAAGAAAAAACAGGTCTTGTGGGTTTCCTAGCACCAGACAACAAAAACTCAAGTTACAAGTAAGTACAGGGTGAGATAAAAAAAACTACAACAAAGTCAAACGCCATAATTTTTAAATTTTATTGATTGAAAGCAAAATATGTCGAAAATAACATCGAATTTAAAAAAAATTATATTTGATTGAATTGGTCATCTTTGGCACGAATTATAATTTTTTTATTCTAATTTTACCATGCATATACCCGTATCCTTCTACCATACTTGTAACTATACACTATAAATATATTTATTTATATAATGCTTAACCATTACCAAAACATTGTGGAGAGCGCACAAAAGTATTATTTAATATAAAAAGGGTGAGTAAAAGCGCATATGTATTTCATCTCTTTTAAATAATTTTTATTTTATAAAATGAAATTATTCTCTATGTAAACATTTTTTTTTAAATTTTCAGTGACAGGTTACATGTTAAAATAGCCTTAATTCAAGCGCAATGTGCTACAAAAGTAATTTTCGCTCGACTTCCGCATTCACTGTAAATTGATATCACAGCAGAAGAAGACAGTAGCTGGGCTACATCATCACCTTGTAAACATACTTTGTTTAAAACAACAACATCGATGTAATTGATGTAGTTTTAAATTGCATTTGAATCGTGTGAGTTGTGAAATTCTAACATTTGAACTCATTTTTCATACGTTTTTAATGAAGGTATGTTTTACTAATCATTTATTTCGACAATTAAAGTTTAGTGCAAGTAAAAGGTATGCAAAATATTGAGCCAACATACAACAACATTCTAATTTATTCTAACCGCCAAGGTCATTTTCCGCCATGAAACGAGCAAGAGGAGCCGAAGTTGAAAATTCCAAAAGTGCAAAGAAGCAAACCAACGATGCGGCAGCTAAACCTTCTGAATCATCCCCCGGCAAAAGTACGTCAAATTTTATAGACAATTTCAAGCAACAGCGGCTAGAATGTGCTTCTGATGTTCTACAATTTTCATTCAAAAGAAACGTGTACGAATTTTAAGCAAGGATCAAGAAGTGCGCGAAGATTGCAATGGTCCCGTCGTATACTGGATGTCACGTGATATGCGTGTCCAGGATAATTGGGCTTTCTTGTATGCTCAACGTTTGGCCTTGAAATTAGAATTACCATTGGTAGTGGTGTTTTGTTTAGTACCGAAGTTTTCAAATGCCACTATACGGCATTACAAATTTCTCTTGGGTGGCCTGGAAGAGGTTGCCAGTGAGTGCGAGGAATTGCAAATACCTTTTCAGCTATTAATGGGGCCTGCCAAGGAACGTTTATTGGAGTTTATGAAAGAACATGATGGAGCCGCTGTGGTTTGCGATTTTGCCCCTTTACGTGTCCCACTACAATGGGTGGATGATGTAAAGGTGGGTTTGGAGAAAGCATGTAAGTGTCCTCTCATACAAGTTGATGCCCACAATGTTGTACCTGTCTGGGTTGCTTCAGAGAAACAGGAATATGGTGCTCGCACCATTCGCAACAAAATCAATTCTAAACTACCAGAATTTCTTACCGAGTTTCCGCCTGTGGTAAAACACAAATATAAGCTAAAGGTGGCACTACCCAACGTCGATAGGAAGAAAGCATACGAATCTCTTGAGTGTGATATGACAGTAGATGAAGTACCGGGAATTCGTCCAGGCTATAAAGCAGCCTGCAAACAATTGGAAGAGTTTTGCACCAAACGTATAAAACTATTTGGTGAAAAACGCAATGATCCCACCATTAATGCCTTATCTGGATTATCACCTTGGTTTCATTTTGGCCAAATATCCGTCCAACGATGCGTACTTGCGGTACGTTTGAATAAAAATAAATATAAAGAATCTGTGGAAGCATTCTGTGAAGAAGCCATAGTTCGTCGTGAACTAGCCGATAACTTTTGTTATTACAATAAAAACTATGATAATCTTAAAGGCCTGCACGATTGGGCAGCCAAAACCCTCAACGACCATCGCAAAGATAAGCGATCGCCATGTTATAGTTTGGAGGAATTTGAGACGGCCCACACACATGATGACCTGTGGAACAGTGCCCAGTTGCAGCTGGTAAAGGAAGGAAAAATGCATGGGTTTTTGCGTATGTATTGGGCCAAGAAAATCTTGGAGTGGTCTGAATCACCAGAAAAGGCATTGGAAATTGCTATTCTACTAAATGATAAATACAGTTTGGATGGTAGAGATCCTAACGGCTATGTGGGTAAGTTGTAATGCAATATATTTATGAAAGGCTTTATAGAATAATTTACATTTCAAAAAATCTAGGTTGCATGTGGTCCATTGGCGGAATTCATGACCAAGGTTGGGCTGAAAGAGCTATATTTGGTAAAATTCGCTACATGAACTACCAGGGGTGTAAACGAAAATTTGATGTCAATGCATTTGTAGTGCGTTATGGAGGCAAAGCATATCACAAGAAGTAGAATTTTACATACAACCAATATGTATTTGTTACTTTTTATATTCTTTTTTTAATAAAGCGAGCGCAGAACCTCAACACAGGAAGAATTATTTAATAAATCAAAAACAAACATTTTCTTCTGATTTCTTATCCAGATTCCATTAAATTTTTGTTTTACAAATTAAAAAAGAACTTATGCGTATTAAAAGATGACAGTTGTTTTTGCAGTCTCATTTCAAATGCGACTGTTCCAAAATTTAATCCTTCTCAGCAATTTTGGTTAAGTGGTCTTCAATTTCCTTTTCACTTAGCACTGTAAACTCGGGACGCTCCTTGCTAACAACCGCAATTTCGATGCCATTAGGCTTGAAATCAACGGCCAAAACATTGGACAAACAGGTTATGGCCATTTGAATGGTTTTCTCTTCGTTAAGATTGGGTTTGTATTTCTTTTCCAAATAACTGTTGGCCTCCAATTGTTTGACACCTACAGAAATGGCACGGTATCCACAATAGTAACCAGCTGGATCGGTTTTATATACACAGGGGCCCTTTTCGTCGTCATATGCTATGAGAGTCATACCTATGTATGGTATTTACAGATTTAGATCATTCAATCAAGTAATCTTTAAAATGTATACTTACTGCAACCCAAGGGACGCATTTCAGCATTTTGAGTATAAACTTGATTTATATCAGCAATGCGACGGCACAAAACATCCACTGGCATATCGTAGCCGAATTTGTAACGCCAATTGGCAGCTTCATAACGTGCCTTTTGCACCTGGGATCTGCTATCGGCTGGAATCCACAAAATGACGTTATAAAATTATTTTACACATAAAATAAATTTTATAATTACCAATACGTCCGGTCATTACACATCCAATATTTTTGGTGATTCTGAACAAATGTGTCACGGTAGAAGGATCAATCAATTTCTCCGTCACCTTTTTTTGAGTGGCAACCACAGCACAATCTGCACCCTTTATGGCTACCGAGGTAATACCTTCCTGGTTGATGGACTTGAAGGCATATTCTACAAAATTAAGATGGAAACATTAACTTCTTGTCCCCTTACTGTGCTAGTGATTTTGCAAAATCATGCAAGGCAAACTTACCGACTTGATATAGTCTTCCTTCAGGCGAGAAAATAGTAATGTGTCTATCGAAACCAGCAGAACTTCCGCGAGACATAATTACTTCTTAATGGCTGAGAATACAAGCGGAGAAAACTCTAATTTTATTTAAAAATGCAAAAATAAAAACTTTTTGCAATGCGGCAAATCAATCTCCTAAACAACCGTCTCACTACAAACAAAATCAACCAGTCATGCAGCTGTCAAAATATGACATTGGAATTAGGAGATGTTCTACCTAAGAGAAACGCGTACAACATTCCATTTTATATGCCACCGTTACACGATGTGTTAATGACATCAAAAGAAAACAGTTATTTTGTCACAAAATTTATTAAAAACATGCGGTGTGCTTGGGTGTTTACATATAAAATCTTTAGCCGGTTTTACAGCCAGTATTAAATTTAATAATGATTGGTCAATTATCTGATTAAATGCTTGTAATTTTGGTAGTTCACGAAATTTATTGAAATACAGCTACCAAAATTAAGTCGTCACCTAGTTCTACCCACGGTAAAGCAAAATAGCTTTAATGCGCGTCTCACAATTTAAGTGTCATTCCCTCATTGATCTTGAAAATATTCTGATTTTATTTTTCAAAATAATAAAAATTATTCAAATCAAATTCAATTCAATAAAACTAGAAGAAAATTTTAATCAGCTGGTAGCTCTACCTTACCTTTTTCATTGTAGCTGTGCTGTCAACTTAAATTTAGACTTTTCACTCATTATTATGCATCTTGTAATCGCATTTAAAACCAAATGTACAGTTAAGCGCTGAAAACAATTCTGCAAAAATTGTGCAGCCTTTTTAGAATGTAAATAAACTGTAAGTTAATCAGACAGCATCCCTGTAAAACATTGCAAGCAATCAACTGATTTATAAAATAAAAATAAAATTTGTCCACATATTAGTAATAAATTTATAATTTATATTGTTAAAATTCATACAATTCAGGTTAGTCAGCTGCTGCTTTCAGCTTATCCAATTTAACAGTTAATTTTTGAATTCGCTCAATTCAAGGCGAATTTCACATTGGCACTAAATATGCTATCAATTCACTTTGTGTTTATTATCTTATCAAGAGAGATTGAACATTGGACATTTACAAACGAGTTGCAAACTAATAAATGTTTTGCACGGATTTGTGGAATATATCCAGACCTTTTTCTATATCACTTCACTTACATTCCTTCTACGTTCAAAGACATACAGGTGAACAATGCTAAATAACGGTGCTTTAAAAGGAAAAACTCTGTTCATAACTGGAGCCTCAAGAGGCATTGGTAAGGCAATTGCTTTAAAGGCGGCCAAGGATGGAGCCAATATTGTTATCGCGGCCAAAACCAGTGATCCCCATCCCAAATTGCCTGGTACCATTTATACCGCCGCTGAAGAAAGTAAGTTAGCGAAATAAACGGAGTATTGAAGTTTGCTAAATTCTTTAATTCGTTTAGTTGAGAAGGCCGGTGGAAAGGCATTGCCCTGTATTGTAGATGTTCGCGATGAACAACAAGTGAAAGCAGCTGTTAAAGCTGCTGTGGACAAATTTGGTGGCATTGATATTGTCATAAACAACGCCAGTGCTATTTCTCTGACTCCAACTATGGAAACAGAAATGAAACGATATGATCTAATGCATAACATAAATACCAGAGGAACATTTTTGGTGTAAGTATCGAATCTCGCTTCTATGGCATGTTTTTATGTATTACTCCAATTTTAGATCCAAAGAATGCCTTCCCTACTTGCTGAAGAGCAAACATGCTCACATTTTGAACATATCCCCACCATTGAGTATGAAACCAATTTGGTTTGGTAGTCATGTTGCCTATACAATGGCTAAATATGGCATGTCCATGTGTGTTTTGGGCATGGCCGAAGAGTTCAAAGATCAAAATGTTTCTGTAAATGCCTTGTGGCCCCAGACTGCAATTCAAACAGCTGCTATTGATATGTTAAATGGTCCCGAAGCTGCCCAATACTCTAGAAAAGTTGATATTATGGCTGATGCTGCATACGCCATCTTATCTCAAGTTCCACCCAAGGCTCCCACGGGCCAATTCTTTATCGATGAAAAAGTTTTGCTTAAAGCTGGTGTTACTGATCTGAAACAATATGCCGTCAATCCAGCAAATGCCGATAAGTTGCATTTAGATTTCTTTTTGGAAGATGTTGAAGAATATCAGGCACCAAAAGCTAAATTGTAAATATTTTAAATAGAAGTAATGCATAAAAGAATATTTGTAATTTTTGTAAATGATTTACGGAAAGGGGCAATAAATAGTTTTTATTTTTATAAGAAAATATTTGCTTTTATATCTCCTAATATCCATGTTTATCAACTCTAGGGAGGTTGGAAAGTAATAAATACGATCCAGTGACTTGCTACACAATTAAATATTGTCCAACAGAAAAGCTCTTATTCTATTAAAATGCAAAGATGTTACCATAATAATGTCAATTTAGGCTGTTAAATAAAGGAAAAGGCCAATAGCATTGTTATTTTCATATTTCGAATATCAAATCTTATCATGTGGACATTGAACTAGAAAAAAATAGATTAAATAAGTACCCCCAACAAACGGAGATAAAAATAATAATGCTGCAAATATTGACTGCATTGAAGAAAATTTGCATTTGTGTTTTATACGGCAAGCAATTAACATGGAAAATAACGGATCTTTAAAGGGGAAAACTTTATTTATTACCGGTGCCTCAAGGGGTATTGGTAAAGCCATAGCTTTAAAGGCAGCCAGAGATGGTGCCAATATCGTTATTGCCGCCAAGACAAGCGATCCTCATCCTAAATTACCGGGCACAATTTACACTGCTGCCGAAGAGAGTAAGTATTCCAGTGGGAGTGAGATCTTTATAAACAAATATGCATTTCATTTTATTTTAGTTGAAAAGGCCGGTGGCAAAGCTTTACCTTGTATTGTGGATGTTCGAGATGAGCAGCAGGTAAAGGCTGCTGTCAAAGCAGCCGTAGATAAGTTCGGAGGCATCGATATTTTGGTCAACAATGCCAGTGCCATATCAATAACATCCACCATGGCAACTGAAATGAAACGTTTTGACCTCATGCACAATATCAACACCAGAGGAACTTTCTTGGTGTACGTATAAATTTATCAGGTGAAAAATTAGGAGATCCAAAATTAATTTTAGACTTACGGCTCATCGCAGCACTCACAATAAAATATGAATTTTTCTGGCCTTTACAAAAATTACCTATATACTTTCAGTTCCAAGGAATGCTTACCCTATCTGCTGAAAAGCAAACATGCCCATATCTTGAACATATCCCCACCATTGAGTATGAAACCGATTTGGTTTGAAAATCACGTTGCCTACACCATGGCTAAATACGGTATGTCAATGTGTGTTCTGGGTATGGCTGCAGAGTTCAAATATCAAAATGTTGCTGTGAATGCCCTGTGGCCCCAGACGACAATTCACACGGCTGCTATTGATATGCTTAATGGTCCGGAAAGTGCCAAGTTTTCTCGCAAGCCAGACATTATGGCTGATGCTGCTTATGCTATTTTATCCCAAGCTCCTCCCCAGGCACCAACCGGTCAATTCTTTATTGATGAGAAAGTTTTACTAAAAGCTGGCGTTAAGGATTTGAAAGCATACGCTGTAGATCCAGCCAATGCTGATAATTTACATTTGGACTTCTTTCTGGAAGATAGTGATGAATATATACCTTTAAAAGCTAGGTTGTAATAATTAAACATTTGTTTTGAATGCATCAAATACTTTGTTTTCTATTTAAAATATTAAGGGTTTTGCTAATTTGGAGAAAGTAAATAAAATCCTGTAATAAATTAGGTGTACCATTCTAATCCGTTCTATAGGAAAAAGCTGTTAATAGAACATAAGGTTTCCCTATAAATCTTTTGAATTGTAATAACATGTCTTTTGGCACTCCCCCGAACTAAATATAGCTTTATACTAACTACTATATATAGCTTGATAATAGTACATTATATATATTCGTTTCTTTATTTTTGTTCCCTAGAAAGTTTGCTATAAAAATGCTTAATATAAAATTTAAAACTCTACATAGGACTTTAAAAGGATGTGTAAACTAGAATTTGTTGTATATGTATCCTTATATTATATATAAATTTATGTTTTTTACAGAGAGTTTAACCACTTTTATGAAGATTTATTTGGAATTGGAAATTAAAATACAGTAAATTGAAAAACAAAATCTTGGGACAAGCTTAGAATTGGATAACAGCTTCTTCTTCTTACTTGCTGCATCCAAAGTGAGGTGAGTTCCATTTTGACTTCCGTCTCGCCAGCAAAGCTATGTAAAGTAAGATGATTCCCAGAGGAGACAGTTTGACAGTTAATCAGATTATCAGAAAATGCGTTTTAATCGAAGCGAAGTTCACTGTGACATTAAAACTTGATATCATTCATTGAATACCGATTACCGAATAGCGTACACCATAACAAGAAGAAGAATTTCCGACTCAGACCTGCAAAAGGTTGCAGGAGTTAAAAAATAAGAAAATTAAGAAGGAAATACAAATATAATCATGCAGGACGATGAGGCCGAACATCTAAAGAATCAATTGACATTGGCACGCAATGAAATTAATAAATTAAGGTATGTCTACTTACTTCAATCCAATAATAATCCATATTAACGAAAAGTCCTTTCATTGTCTTTCGTCCTACACCAAACACCCACACATTATTCATAATTAATTGATTGGACATTTCACATCATACAGACAACAAGTTCGCAGCTTGCAACATAAACAAAAGAAGGACATCGATGACATTGCACGACTTTTGAGGAACTACCGCTGTGAAGGATGCCGCCAACGGGAAAACAATCATAACAGCAATGATGAATGCATCTTAACGACCAACAATGATGCGTCGACCTTGACCATCACAACAGATGTAAAATGTTCTCCAACAACAAAAACCGAACAGCAATACCCCCAAACCAAGGTAGGTAGCATTGCATTTTGATTTGAGTGGGTGGGCCTGTGTGTGTGTGTGTTTCAAAAGGTAAATTTTATTTAACAAACATCTTCCAGATGCGCGCACATTTATTTTTAGAACATTTGATTCATTATCCCTTTGTGTCGGTCTAACGGACTCCCACATAACTTTTAAGGCACCTACAATGCCGTGGAGGATACATTAATTTTGTCCATTAAAAACATATAATAGATTATTTTTATCAGAAATAATTTTTCCTCGAACCCCATGTATTACCATATTGTCATATAACCGATTTCTTTTTATTTTTGTAGGAAATATTTCGTCCCATTGGTTTGATACGTACATGCTTTCCCGAGAAACGTGCTGTGCCGCGACAGTCCAGTGTTGGTGGCCGCTTACGCGGTTTAATTGAATTGAATGCCGATGTATTTACAAATCCGGAACATGCATTGGACGGTCTGGAGGAATATTCGCATCTATGGATTATTTATCATTTCCATAAGAATAATTCTCATCCAAAAGCAAAAGTTGCTCCGCCTCGTTTGGGCGGTGAAAGAGTTGGTGTTTTTGCTACACGTTCCCCGCATCGTCCCTGTCCCATTGGCTTATCGTTGGTGGAGATTGAGAGAGTAGAAGCCGCTTCTATTAGCTTCTTTGGTACCGATATGGTTGATGGTACACCTGTATTGGATATAAAACCGTACATACCATTTTATGATTCTCCCATCACGGATAGCGGTCGCATTTCTACCGGTCCAGGTGAACCAACAACATCAGATTTTTATAATTTTCGCCAAGAACCAGATGGCGAAGAATCGGAAATGGAAATGATGGGGGCTGCATCATTGGCCCAGACACCGGTAAATTTTAGCAATCATTACACCCCACCCCCGCAAGCAGTTAAAGTACCCTCATGGGTGACAGCAGCACATCGTTTAATTGTTACATTCAACGACAGGGCCGAGGCTCAGTTGCAATCTCTGCGTATACAAAAGCAATGTATAATTGACATCCTGGAGGCTGATCCACGTTCCGTATATTTGCGTACAAAATACAATTCACAAATTTTCACATTCCAATTGAGTGAAGTCACGGTGACGTGCAAATTTGATGATAAAAATTCAACAGTTACCGTATTACAAATACGGCCAACAGAACATTTACAGGATGTTAATAATGATATCACAACAAATAATGCACACGGCATTGCCTATAATGGAGTGGAAGGAGTTGACAACGAGTAGGGCTAGGAGTTATAGTGAGTATTTTTTTTGGAGTCAAACATGGATAGATAACAAAAACATAGAGTTAATGCTTTATAATGTTCATAAAAAAGGAAATTGTTTTAGAATATTTCAGCTGCAAGGATATGACAAAGTCATATACAACACTGAACTCTTGTTGGAAAACAAATGCTTAATATATATATTTTATCAACAAAAATTCTAAATAAGATGATACTTTATAATAATTTAGTTTTATTTATGCATTTATTTTTCTATATGTACAAAAAAACATTAACAATGACTATATGTATTCATACATAAATTAAACGATTATTTTTACCCGTTATGTTGCAATATTCTGCTCATTTAATTGGTTTAAAAAGCAAAGCTATATAAACATAGAATAAATATGAGTTGAATTATTCATATATACATACAAATGACGGCTTTTAACTTATTCGGGCTAGAATTATAATTAAAAAGGGCTGACGATGATTAGAAATCAAAAATTGTAATTAATTAAGAGGAGGTTTGTGAAGCCTTAATGACATTTTTTCAAAAAGACACCATCCACCCAAGAATTCAAAAAAATGATTTTAAAAGCTTGGACAAAACTGAAATTTATAATGAAACGTATACATGGGAACTATATCCAGATCCTATTGGAATTTCAGTAAACTTAACATTTTTTATTAATCTTGACAACTCTTTTGAGGACATGGCAACACTTTTTATTAGCTGTTTTTTTTTTTGTTTTTGATTTAAAATTGAGTGGGTAAATTTGTCTTTGCTTTTGTCCTTTTGTTTAGAATAGACGTAAAACAAAATGCGAAAAATCGAGTAAACAGTTGATAATTAGGTTTCCAAAAGCCGACAATGATCGATACCGCAAAATATCGACAACATAGCATATCGATTTTTCGCCTAATAAGTGTTGCCAACCATGAATCTAAAGGAAATTGTTAAGAAAACACGAATAAATTATGATGGATGTAAACAATTTTTACAATATTTATTATATTAAGTCTAAATAAACGTTTTATTTCATAACCAATAAAAATATATTCATTTTTACGATGTCCTGCATGAGCTGGGCAGATTTTTGCCAGGAATCCCAAGAACTTTTGGAGATGTCTAGAAGACTGATTGATACATGGAGCTGGGAAGAAAAGGTAAGTGAAATTGAGCTTCTCTGTGATAGCCATCTCTTGTTCCTCTTCATTTCAAGATTTCCTTTTGAGAAAATTACATTGTTTGGCTACGGAACAATTACATCCTGTAGTGACAAACTTAATTACATATTTTCTCTTATTTCAGACTTCCGATGAGGGTCAATCATACTTGGTGTATAAACAAAAACTTTCCGATCCACTTACACAGGACTTAATACAAATTGAATATAACATAGTATATTCGATATCATATCAAGTTCCCATAATGTATTTTCAGGCCCATCATAGTGGTATGAAGAACTAAGAATTTTTTCTTAATAAAATACATTTTAATTGATTTTAATAACTTTATAGATGGGAAAATGCTAAGTTTGGAGAGCGTTTGGCAATTATTTCTATTCCAAAAAGATTCCCAATACTCACGTGAAGATATGCTAAGCATTCTAACGCAAATGGAACATCCGGTGCTCTTTAAACCCTACATGTGTCTACATCCATGTCGTACAGCGGAAATTCTCGAACAAATGCCGCATAGTAAAAATCGTATATTAACATTTATTAGTATAATGGGTCCATATTTACAATTGAATTTAGATAATGGTTATGGCTTGCTGTGTAGAGGAGAAGGAGAGTACTTGAGTGACGATGTGAAGAACCTACCTACAGTATAAATATGTCCAACTAGTCATGATAGCATTAAGTGAATTAGATTTTGATATTTGTTGATTGATGGTTATAATCGTATTTTGTATAATTTGTACAATTGGAACATTGTCTTTTATACATAACACTTGACTGAAATAAAGACATTGCATTTCCATACAGATTCAGCGGTATTCGCCTGTCTTTTTAATATAGTGTATAGGTGAGCTGACACTCAGATAGGGATATATTGACTCAAGTATTGTACAGCTTTAGGGGTTTTATTGAGTAAAAAACTTTCGGGCGAAGAACGTTCATCTTTCCGAAGTAATAAGGATTTTAATTTAAATTTATTAGGGTTTAGCATTTGGGGGATTTAGTGAGTAAGAAATCTGTAGGCGAAGAATGTTCAGATTTCTCAAGTAATAAGGATTTTAATTTAAAATCGTAATTGTTCAGTCAGGCAAAACGAATGAAGTTAGACTCCTGAATATTAACATGAGGGTCACTAACGTAGAGCTGAAGTTGAAGATTCGTACTTTAAGGGTACAATACGATGATAAAGAGCTAGAATTTTGAGATTTTGCATGAGTGCCACTTATGGAGCAAAGAGATAGAATACTGCAGACGTAGCTTGAGTTCTGTAGTTAGTTTTTCGAGAATCGAAAAATAAGTAACTGTAACTTCTATACGGGAGTAAATTTCGTACTATTGAAAAATAGGAATTGCTAAATGGCAGCACTCGTTTTGGCTGGACAGATAGAGTTGGGATTCTGGCTTATGATACCGGTTTCAACGTATGTATTGGTAGGGTACGAATATTACTCATTGGAATTTTATTAAATACGACGATTTGGTATATGTTGGTTGTTTTTTTATAGTCCCAATGTAATCGCTAGAAAAGGCTGCGCAGGAACTGAACTACGAACCAACAACATGTCAATCAGAGTAAAAAGTGTTAGGTTTTCAACCACTACTGTTGTGACTTCTTCAAAGATTGTATGAAGTGGGGATTGTGGTAAAAATGGGTGACCGTTTTAATAAAATTTTTGAAAATAAAGTATTCCTCTGATTTGAAAATTTTCATAAAGAAATAGCTGAAACTTCTTTACCTTTAGGGATTTTTTAAATAAAGAGGCGTTGAAGAGGAGGGGGAGAGAGGAAGAGGGACAAAGAGGAAGAGAGGGGAAGAGAGAGAAAGAGGGGGAGAGGAAAAGAGGAAGAGGGGGAGAGAGGAAGAGGGAGAGAGAGAGAGAGAGAGAGGAAGAGGGAGATAGAGGAAGAGAGAGAGTAAGAGGGAGAGAGAGGAAAAGTGGGAGAAAGGAAGAGGGGGAGAGAGCAAGAAGCGGAGAAAGGAAGGGGGAGAGAGAGGAAGAGGGAGAGAGAGAAAGGAAGAGGGAGAGAGAAGAAGAGGGAGAGAGAAAGGAAGAGGGAGAGAGAAGAAGAGGGAGAGAGAGAGGAAGAGGGAGAGGGAGAGAGAGGAAGAGGGAGAGAGAGGAAGAGAGAGATGGAGAGGGAGAGAGAGAGAGAGGAAGAGAGAGATGGAGAGGGAGAGAGAGAGAGAGGAAGAGAGAGATGGATAGAGAGAGAGAGAGAGAGGGAAAGAGAGAAGAAGAGGGAGAGAGAGAGAGAGAGAGGAAGAGGGAGAGAGAGAGAGAGAGAGAGAGAGGAAAGAGGGAGAGAGAGAGAGAAAAGGTCAATGACCCCAGGTCAAGAGGTCAATGACCCCAGGTCAAGAGGTCATTGACCCCCAGGTCAAGAGGTCATTGACAACCAGGTCAAGGGGTCATTGACCCCAGGTCAAGAGGTCATTGACCCCAGGTCAAGAGGTCATTGACCCCAGGTCAAGGAGTCAAGGAGAGGAAGAGAGAGAGGAAAAGGGAGAGAGAAAAGGAGAGAGAGGAAGAGAAGAGAGAGAGAG